CCCCCTCAACGAAACTTTTATATTTGGCCAATCCTACCTCCCTATTTTCCTTTTCCAGGAATGTAGTTTGCTTATCTTTTACAAAATTATTGAAATTCGGTTTTAACATCGAAATTCTGGTTCGAGGTTTTTGTTTTAACAATAACTCAGCCGGTGAGGTTTGAGTCATGTTATGTGGTATATTCCTATAATAGAATAAAAAGTTGTCTAATTTTTCTTGAATTGACTTAATTGAGGTTTTCACATCAAAATTTTGTTTTAACAGGTTATTTTTAAACGTTTGAATAGTTCTCTCAGTGATTCCATTTGATTTCGGATGAATAGGTGGGGACTTTAGAACTTTAATACCTTGAGCTTTACAAAACATTTCAAACTCTTCTGAACTAAATGGCGGCCCATTGTCAGAATGTATCTCATCTGGTAACCCAAATATAGAAAATGTTTGCCTTAGACAAGCAATAACATCACTGGCAGTGGTTGATTTTAGAATCCAAGCATCCACCCATTTACTACTTGCATCAATTAAAATTAAAAACTTTATTCCATTTTTCATGGCTAAGTCTAAGTGTAGTCTTTGCCACTTTCTTGGACACCATGTCCATGATGTCGTTGGTGCATCCGGAATATTTCCCGCCATTAATTGACAGCACTCACATGCTTTCACCAAACTCTCAATTTCTCTGTTGATATCTGGCCAATAAACATATTGACGTGCTAGCATTTTCATTTTCACAATGCCCGGATGTTGTTCATGAAGCAAATGTAAAATTGGTACTCTTAAATGTGTTGGTATAATAACACGGTTGTTAAACATTAAACAATTCATATCCAAATTCAACTGTTCCCTTATTATATAATATGAGTTAAGTGCCGCATCCAATTCTTTGGGATTTGGCCAACCACTCATCATAAAACCAATAACTTGTTGTAAAACTTTGTCTTTCGTCGTCTCATTAGCAATGTCTTTAGCGGATAACGGACTATTTTTGACCACTGAAAAATAATTTACAGATTCCCCACTCATTGAATTTTTTAATGGTAATCTTGAAAATGCATCAGCATTTTGCATATTTTTCCCTTCTCTATATTTAATATTGTAATCATAAATTGACAAAGCTACAGCCCAACGATGACATCTAGCTGCTGCCAACGGTGGCAAACTTTTCTGTGGTGACAAAATGGTTTGCAGCGGTTTGTGATCATTAAATAAGGTGAACTTACGGCCAAACAAATAATTATGGAATTTTCTCACACCAAATATGATTGACAAGGCCTCCTTCTCCAACTGACTATAGTTTTGTTCTGATTTTGATAATGTTGCTGACGCAAACATTACTGGTTTTTTCCCAATTTATTCTTACATTATATTGCTTCAACCTATCCAAAATTTTTATTAGTCTTGCTTGCATTTCGTTATTATCCTTAGCTTGAATTAGACAATCATCCAGATAACAATGCACCCCTTCAATACCTCTCAAAATTTGATCAATTACTGACTGAAAAATGTGTGGGGCACTCTTAATCCCGAATGCCAAACGTGTATAAGCATATAATCCAATTGGTGTGTTAACGACTAATAATTTTTTGCTCTCATCGCTAACTTTTAACTGTAAATACGCATTCTTCAAATCAATAATTGAAAAGATTCTTCCTCCCGCCAGTGACGCAAATATTTCCTCGGTTGTAGGTAAAGGATAATATTGATTTTCAATGCACGGATTAATGGTTTGTTTAAAATCTCCACAAATTCGAATCCTACCATCAGATTTTGGTACCACCACAATTGGGCTTGCCCATTCTGATGTAGTAACAGCTTCTAAAATACCTTCCTTGACTAACTTTTGTATTTCAGCCTCAACTGTATCTTTTAATGCATATGGAATTCTATACGGTTTACAAAATTTAGGAATAGAACTATTTTGAACTTTAATGTTTACTACGAATTCATTAATAAAGCCTTTACTTAATACCCCAGAGTACTTTTGTTTCAAATGCTTAATCACATTTGCCATGGACTCCTGTGAATTCAAATGATTGACCTCAATATGGGAAATAGTTGTATCAAGTAATTTACTTTTCCAATTCGGGATTAACTTATCTAACCAATATCTACCTAACAGACAAACGTCACTATCATAATCAACCACCTTAAGTTCTAACTGAAAGTCATTGTTTCTAAAATGTACATCAACCAAAGCTCTATAAACTGACTTTTTTGCTTCACCAAATAAGGTATTTATTCTACAATTACTTAGCTTGGTTAATGCAACATTTCCGAACCTAGATTTAAACATCTTAAATGGCATTATGGTACTATTGGCACCTGTATCCACTTCCATATTCACTGATTTATTATTGATAAGCACACTTACTTTAACTGGACATTGATCACCTGTTGTAACGCAACGCAACACATCCTCGTTTTCGTAAACCCTGGACCAATGTACTAAATCGTCATATAGCTCCTCGTCGACATCCTCGTTTTGACCCTGCGACGACTGTTCGAACTGTTCCTCTTCCTCCTCGGTGAAATGCACTTTATTCTTGTGGCACAACGGCGACCTTGCGGTGTGACCAATTTTATCACATGCAAAACATTTCCACTTAACGGCTGGACATTTGGAAGGATCGACATGTATTCTCAGGCACCTCTTACAACTTTGACTTTTTCCCAGACTGGAAGTCTGACCTGACTGTTTTGTACGAAACTGCGGCTTTCCTTGACTGTAATTAGACTCGAACTTCTTTTTATTAACTTGACACTTGTTGACTAATTCTGACCCTAAACTTCTCGCTTGCCCTTCGGCTAATTCCATGCTTGATGCTATTTTGACTGCTTTTCCGAAGGTTAACTCTTCTTCTGATAACAACTTACGCCTCATTGCTTCACTTCTTATACCGCAGACAAACTTGTCTCTTAACGCTTCTTCCATGAACTGACCAAACTTACAGTTTTTTACCAAGTTTTTCAACTTCAATGTGAACGCCGCAACGTCCTCGTGACTCTCTTGCCTCGCACAGTGGAATTGATACCTCTCCGCAATGACCAACCTCTTCGGACTGTAATGTTTCATTAACACGTCCTTGAGATCCTTATAGGATTTATCCTTGGGCAACTCCGGAGATAATAAATCCCTCAACACCTCGTACGCCTCTGCACCCAACAATGTTAGGAACATGCAAACTTTCTTCTCCTCTTCCACGCAGTTACACTCGAACAATTGATCCATTCGTTCTAAGTACGAATTTATCTCGCTCTCTTTCGACTTAAACGGTTCGATACTACCTATTAGCATCTTGACAATTTGACTTGGACTTGACTGTTATGTACAGACTACAAGACTTCTTTTCTACAACAGACTTTTCCCACGTTTTTTTTTACGTAACCTAACCTTACTTTTTCCCGTGTGACTTGACTAAGACTTCTCAGTAGACTTAACGGCGTGACTGATATTTAACTTAAATCATCCTCGTCGCCATTATGTTGTGACTTTCACAAACACGGTTCTTTTTAAGACTTTTATTAAGTTAAAATACAACTTAGACACGCTACATGCTACGCTTAAAAACGGACTGCCTCTCACTTCACTTTTTACCACCCGTCCCCTACCATAGAATAGGTAACTAAAACTAATACACTATACAAATAGTTTTATTTTGTTGGATGAAATTTGTGCGTCTATTGCAATCATATATAAAGATGTTCGAATACATAAACTATGTGTCAAGGATCGAGTGTCATTAACATTTACTAAACTAAAATGTGATGTGAGTTATACTATCCTAGGAGTTTTATATGGAATAAGTAGTGTCCTGTGCAGAATTTATTTTATAGAAATGATAAAGTTACTTTCCACCATTTTAAAATCAGTGATCGTATTTCCGTCAAAAATAGAAAATTCACAAAACATGCCAATCTGTTTTGAAAAGTTCCAAGACACTCAAATCGTCTTAGACTGTACTGAGATATTTATTCAGACGCCAAAATGTTTATGTTGCCGAATACGGTTCTATTCACACTATAAAGGTGCACTTACAGTAAAATTTATGACAGGAGTTTCTCCAGCAGGTTTAGTAACTTTTGTTAGTAAAGCATATGGAGGGAGAGCATCGGATAAAATTATTTTTCACGGAAGTGAATTAATCAAAAAATTAGAAAAAGGTTCTGCAGTTATGGTTGACAAGGGATTTTTAATTGAAGACATTTGCAAAATGTATGAGATTAAGCTGTATCGTCCACCATTTCTTCGAGGTAAAGCACAATTTGACGAAGGAGAAGCAATGTTCACTAAAGAAATAGCATCTGCCAGAGTGCACATTGAACGCACTAATCAACGCCTCAAAATTTTTAAAATTCTAGGAGGGAAACTTCAGTGGAATCTTGTACACTACATTGATGACATTATAATAATTATTTGTGCAATTACTAATTTGTCAGCACCAATTTTAGCAGAGGATAAATTTTTAAAATAATATTTTTATAACAATTTATGTATTACACATTACATGTAACATTTTTTTAAAATACTTTCCTTTAACATTAAACAATAAAGTTTTTGAAAAATCGTAATTATATGGTACATCTAGAATTAACATGCTTTTATCAAAAGAACAATAAATAATAAATTTGCAATTAAATACATTTAGCATCGCCATCCCAAGTTGCACTTGTGCAAAATATTTGTGTTTTTTTTTTAATTCATAAATATTGTCTTCAAGTTGCAAGTATTTTAATTTAGGTACCACACTTCCTATGGTCTCTGTAGCACCTAAAACAAGTCATTTAATTATTTTAGATTAATAATAAATTGCAACATACCTGCAAATGGGCATTTAATTTCGATTAATTCTTTTGGATTACCGTCTTGGTCAACAATTATTCCATCAGGTGAATAACCAAGCCAGGAATTAAAGTGAGAAACAACCAATCCACATTCTACAACTTTCAAGCCCGTAGCATCCATAAAAATCTGTCGGGCAACAGCTGGTTCTTGCTCAATGCCATGCTTAGTAAATTTATTCATGAAACTTATTGGATTAAAATAACGATTTGCTTTTTTTTGCCAATCATCTGATTTATACGTATATAGTTCATAAATTCGTGAACCTGTAACCCTAAATTTTCTTTCAATATTCCAAAATTCTTTTGACTGTTTAGTTTTAAGCAATATTTCGTCAATATCTTTCAATAAGTGTTTATCGAACAATTCTTTACAACAAGAACCTATGAAATTTACATGAAAATGATACAATTCCATCATTAAAATTGATTGCGTTGCGTGATTTAAAATGACTACATCATGCTCATCATATGGAGTAAACACTTCTTCATTCTCAAAGGTGGAAAGGTTTGTGCAACGTCGTCCTGCCCTACAAAGTTCATTAACATAATATACATTGTAACATTAAATTGCTCACTTGTGTAATGCCAATGCTGAATTTGGCAATTTAGACACCAAATTATCGTGTATGCCCATTAAAATTGCCTCGTCCAATTTCATACCATCACTTTGCTTTATGCACGGCATTTCTTTAACAGGAATTGCTCTATATTTATCTTGTGTTTTGCCTTTCTGAGCAGACCATGTGCATTTAATATCAGTTTGCGAAACTGCTTCAAGTTTATCGAGGGAAGTCCTACAACAAGGATATCAAAATATCATCTGTTTAACCTGCATAGATTAAATAAAACCTTGAACATTGTAGCAAAACTGCTGAAATATGCTTGCATCGACCACTTTGCCCAGCTTTACAAGAACATGCAAACTTTTCTACAACCCACTTTTCGTCATCATGCACTAAAGTCCCTTCGATTTTATGTGGTGCACTTTGTAAGGCACTCGTTTGTAAACAAAGTGCATACAACGTTAGACGATTTTCCTCCTTGTTTGTTACTCCACACAGTATGATGTGTCCTGCATTAAGAACATGTTCCCCTTCATACACCACTCTAGAATTATCTGTCCCTTTTATATACAGTAGATAGTCACATATCGAGAATCTGTTCTCCATAACCTAGAAAGTTAATATTTTACGTCAGGTTAGATTATTGAACTTATGCATTACTTACGCGGAACGGCAGAAGTTGCGCTTGTATCAATTTACTTCAAATAAGCTATTTCGTGATCCACTCGTATATAATTACTTCAAAAAATTCAAAACATACACACTTTATATATACAAAACAGCAAAGATTAGCAAAGTTTACATATCTTGCAGAGCTTTACAATTTGTCCACCGCGGCGCTGCGATCTTATTTTTAATTCCCTATAATTTCGGCGTTCCTGCGAGCAGAGAGCAGTGGCATCCGCGCTTCGAGATCTTCAACAGCTCCAGCCGCCTACAGCCGAACGCGACCTCGACTACCGGCTCCGTCTACAGCTGACCATTACTCCCCGATCGATCCGCCAGCTCAGACCCGCTGAAACCACGCTTCGCCTACGATCCGAGCCGCTTGTATATATTGTATATATTATTTGACAATAAAACCATTTGGTTTACGTGCCAAACCACTGTATTTACAAGTTCCTGATACCAATGCGTGGAGAACAATCGCCGAAAAGTTTAATACTGTATGCCATTTTCCGCATTGATTGGTGCAATCGATGGCAAACATGTCATTATAGAAGTATGAAAACAAATACACTAAATTTTTGTTACTAATTCCTAATGTTTCAGGCACCAAAACAGAGTGGTTCAACTTACTATAATTATAAGGGTAGCCATAGTATTAATTTACTTGGAGTGGTCGATGCAGACCTATGTTTTATACTTGTGGACATAGGTTCTCCCGGAAGACAAAGTGACGGTGGAGTTTTTCGAAGTAGTGAAATTGGAAGAGCCCTTGACAACAATTCTCTAAATATTCCATGTGCGGAACCTCTGCCATCAAATAGTAGTAATGTAGTGTTCGTTTCGAGGAACGATATCATTCCTTGAGTTATATTAAAACACTACTTATTTATTTGCCACGCCAATTACAGGCGTGCTAAGATTAAAATAAAACACTAACCATGTGGTTACAGTAAAACGTTTACTTACACAGGTTGTAGTCGCTTAGAGAACCGGAGGAAAAAGACGCTGGACGCTTAGCGCAGTCCGGTTTTTATACCACGCCATAGGTGGCGCTCCAGTAGCCCTATGACGATAGTCAGTAGCGCCGGGAGCAGACAGTGGCGCCACATCACCCCCTTTTTAGTATAAAGGTTAATACAGGACACGCCACTGGTGAATACATAACCAAACTTAACCTATACTGGCCTAAACAATGTGCCCACTTAAGATATTTACAAACGAAGTTATTTACAAAATGAAGATATAATTATTTACAAATGTGTAGGTATTTGGCGGGTGTGTACCATGTCTTTGAATTTCGTTGGGAAATGCACCTGTCTGCCTGAACGCGTTTGTCTTGTAGGTTTGTCTTCCTGGGTCGGTGGAGGAGGTAGTTTTCCAGCAGGGTCTGGAACTGGCACGGGAGGTCCTGTCGTGGTAGTCGGTTTAACAGCTGGATGAGTGTCGTTCCCCTCGTAGTAGGCAGGTTTTAATCGGTCTATGGAGATGTTCTCGTCCCTATTCCGAATGCGAACCTTGAAGAATTTGTTGCTTCTGCTGAGGACTAGGTATGGTCCTTCGTATGGAGGTTCCAACGGTTTCCGTACTCTGTCGACACGTATGAAGACATGCTTTGTGGTCTGCAGATCCTTTGGTTGGTAAGTGGATGGTGTTCTGTGGTTTGTCGTATGTTGGAAACGAATGTTACCCATGTTCTTTTGCAGTCTGCATGCGAAGTCGTACTCAGATAGTTGGTTGGGAGTTTTCGTTGCGGGTGGTTCCATCATTGGACCTGGAAGTTTCATGGTTGTTTCGTACAACAATTCGGCTGGTGTTGTATTAACGCCTTCCTTTACTGTGTTGCGGATTCCCAGTAACACTAAAGGTAACGACTCGGTCCAATCTGACTCGTGGCATTTTAACGCTGCCTTTAGCTGACGATGAAACCGCTCTACGAGTCCGTTGCTTTGTGGGTGGAACGACGTGGTGTGAATTTTTTGGATTCCAGCCAGCTTACTCACCTCGGCGAATAGGGATGATTCAAATTGCCTGCCCCTATCTGTGGTGACGGTTGAAGGGACGCCAAATCGTGCTATCCAGTACTCTACGAACGTCTTAGCACACGTTTCGGCTGTGATGTCCTGTATTGGAATCGCTTCAGGCCACCGGGTAAATCTATCGATCATTGTGAGGAGGTATTGCTTTCCATTGGAGTATGGTAGCGGTCCAACGATATCCATGTGGATGTGGCTGAAACGAGCGTCTGGTTCTGCGAAAGTGCCTATGGGCGATCGCACATGTTTGTTGACTTTCGCTCGCTGACATGGAAGACATGTTTTTACCCAATTGGCGACATCTTTCCGCATGCCGGGCCAGAAATATTTGCAGACGACGAGCTTCGTTGTGCCTTTCACTCCTGGGTGAGATAGATTGTGGATGGCATTGAACATAATATTCCTGTAGGTCTGTGGTACGTACAGTCGGCGATGTGGAGTGGAAGTTTCGTAGATTAGTTTGTCTTCAGGTACGCAAGATGGGATTTCTGAGAAAATGTATTTTCCTTGCTCGCGCAACTTCACTAATTCTGGGTCGTCCCGCTGTGCCTTTGAAAATGCCCTTACGTCGATTTGGTTATTTATGTAACCGATTCAACTCTGGACATTGTGTCTGCGGGGATGTTGTCCACACCTGGTATATGTTGAATATCTGTTGTATATTGTGAGATGTAGTCGAGGTGCCTACACTGACGCGGGGTGCACTTCGTTGGTTTTTGCTTGAATGCAAACACTAGCGGCTTGTGGTCCGTAAATACCGTGAAATTGCGGCCTTCAAGGAAGTGTTGGAAATGTTTGATCCCCTTGTAAATTGCCAGCAGCTCTCGATCGTAGGTGCTATACCTAGTTTCTGCTGGATTTAACTTCAAGGAGAAGAAGGAGATTGGCTTGTAGTTGCCAGGTGATCCTTGCTGTAGTACGCCACCTACCGCTGTGTCTGAGGCATCGACGGTGAGATTCATTGGTAATGATAGATTAGGGTAAGTTAACAGAGTGGCATTAACTAGCTTCTGTTTTACTTGCCTAAAAGATTCAATGGCAGCGTCTGTCCAGGTGAGCACTACGTTTCTACGCTGCAGGCCTTTAAGTAGACTGTGCATTGGGGCTAATGCTGCAGCTGCTTCTGGTAGCCATCTCCGGTAGTAGTTCGCCATACCGATGAATTGCTGTAATCCCTTACTTTTTGTCGGTAGAGGAAAATCGTGGATAGCTTGCACCTTTTCCGGGAGGGGGAGGATTCCTTCTGTAGTGATCTTCACTCCAAGAAATTTTAACTCCTGAGCTCCAAATACACACTTGTTCGGATTGATTACTGTTGAAAAGAAAAACATTAAATTCGTTAGATCAAGGTTTCAGTGTGTCAATGTAATAAATTTACCATCAAACTTTAGGCTTTAATCAAATAAAAAATATGACATTAATTAATCAAAGCTGTCTATATAATATTAGCACATTCTCCCCTAGTTATTTTGAAATGTAGTCTTGTAGATACAACGGTAGTTTTCTTTCTCGTTGCGATCTTGTTTGTTCTTCTGTTAATACTGGGTTGGGGAAGGAATTGGATTCAATGACAGGAACTTCTGATACATGAGGAACAGCTCGATCAGATTCAAAACTGTGATCTTGACCTGTAGATTCTTCACGACCAAATATTGAACTGTCCCCTGTTGGAGCCAAATGTTTTAAAGAAACCGTAACTTCCTTCCCATTTGCCCGTCGGATTAAAGCATATTCTGGATTTGCCTCAATCAGATCCACTTCTTCGACCAATGGACTGTACTTGGAAGTTCGTACATGACTCTTCATTAGTACCTTTCCTGGATTTGCTAACCAAGAAGGTATAGCTATTCCATTTGTCGAACAACGTGCATGGGAGAACATCCTTTCGTGAGGAGTGCAATTTATAGATGTACATAAAAGGGAACGTATGGCATGTAATGATTCTGGCAAAACTTCTTCCCATCGCGAAATCTCTAATGCCTTATTCTTCATAGCCAAAGACATGGTTTTCCATAAAATTCCATTATACCGTTCGACAAGTCCGTTGCCCTGAGGGTTATATGGAGTAGATAAACTCGTAGCGATGCCTTGTGTATGAAGATAGTTAATGAGATCTTTCGAGAGAAATGATGTTCATCTGTCAGAATGAATATATGCAGGAGCCCCGAATATGGAGAAAAGATTGTAAAGGTTTGTTTTAATCGTAGCAGAGGTCATATCCCGACAGGGGTAGGCAAAAGGAAATCTTGTATATTCGTCAACAATAGTCAAAATATACGTATTCTTAGTGTTAGAAGGGACTGGTCCTTTAAAATCTACATTGAGCCTTTCGAATGGTCTTGTAGCTTTAATCAGATGATTTTCTTGAGATTTATAGAATCGAGGTTTCAATTCTGCGCAAACGGGACATGCAGAAGTGATTTGTTTAATTTCTTCTAAAGAAAAAGGTAGATTCTTTGATTTGATCCAGTGATACATTCTGGTAACTCCTGGATGACACAGAGATTTGTGTAAATTATACAATTCATCGTGATTTGTGGCTCCACAAATCCTCGATAACGTGTCAGCTACTTTGTTGAGAGAACCAGGACGATATGAGATATCAAAGCTATAACAAGACATCTCTAGTCTCCATCGCTGAATTTTATCGTTTTTGATTTTACTTGTATGTTGCAAATTGAACATAAACGACAATGCTTCCTGATCAGTAATAAGTTTGAAATGTCGATTGCACAAAAAATGTCTCCACTTTCTAATACTCTCAATAATAGCAGTAGCTTCTTTTTCTATTGCAGGGTACTTCTTTTCACTTTCGGTAAGAGTTCTAGTAAAGAAAGCAACAGGACGTCCGTTTTGTGTGAGAGCTGCAGAGATAGCAACATCTGAAGCATCTGTTTCGACAACTAGAGGAAATTTCGGGTCCACACATACGAGTAAAGAGTTGGCAATGTCTCTCTTAAGTTTTGAAAAAGCTGATGTGGCTTCTTTTGATAAAGGAAACGATTTGCTATTCATCAGAGGACGAATCTTTTCAGAGAATCGTGGAATCCATTTCGAGTAATAAGCAAACATACCGACTATTCTCTGTAAAGATCCTTTATCACTAGGTGGAGAAATTTCCAACAAAGGCTTCAAACGATCGGGATCC